TAAACTTATTTTAATAAGTAACTTTAATTAAAAAATTGAATATAATAATAATATTTAAAAAAATTTAATCTTTAAAATTAATAATTTTTTTAAAATTAATTAGGACCAATTAGGACCAATTAGAACTTTTACCAACCCTAATTACAGATGACTACCAAAGAAGGTTTAAAGAGGTAGATAGGTGTTAGATCTGTGAAGACAAGTTTAGAATAGATACAGATATGATTAATAGGTTAGAAAGAAAGATTGTAAATCTTACTGATAAGCTTACAGAAATTGTTCAAGATCCTAAATCACATAATAAGATAGCTTTATCTAGAGAGATATCAAAGAGAATCTGGGAAAAAGAAAAGAGTATCAAATCAGAAAAGAATCTCAAAAATTTCTATACAGAATTGCTAAAGGCTGTTAAGAATTCTGAAGACTATAAATCCTTAAAATTAGCAATCTCTAAAGCACAAGCTGAACTTGCTAGGAAAGAAGCTAGAGATAAAAAAGTCTGGAATTATTGTTATATCACAGGTAAATTCCGAGGGGCATCCCATAATACTTGCAATCTTAAATTTCAGATTGAGCTATGGAAGACACAAATCCCAATTATATTCCATAACTTCCGGGGATATGACTCTCACTTGGTTTGTAAATCTGTTGGATACTCAGATAATTTTCTTCGAATTACTGTTATTGCTGAAATATTTGAGCGATATAAGTCTATGAAAGTAGGCCAATTCAAATATATAGATAGCATGCAGTTCATGAATAGTAGCTTGGCCTCTCTTACAAAGAATTTGGGTGATAACCACCCAATTATGACTGAGTATTTTAAGTTATAAGGTTATTCTTCTGAACAGATTTTCTTAGTATATTGTAAAGGAATCTTTTCTCATGAATACATAGACTCTCATAACTAATTTAAGGAAACAGACTTACCTTCCCTATAAGAAATCAAAATAAGGAAATAATACGTTTTTTATAAGGTTTATATACGTAATTAATGATTCTATATCAAAATTCCATATGTTTTATAATAATTTATTTTTTTATAATTTTTTAAAAAATTAATGTATATGGAATTATTAAGGAATTTAAAATAACGTATAAAATTTA